TAATTTAAACATTAAATAAAGGCAATGAAATAAAGCGGAATAATAATCATAATTACTTATATATTTTAGACAAAGATGCTCAGATCAAGTAAAATCGCTAAAGCAATTTTTTTACTATGTTAATCTGTAGCACGATGGTGCCACAACACTCTGACTTTAAGATAAGATTTTTATTTTTTAATTGTTAGTTGTTGTTCATCCATATACATATATAAATAAGTAGAAAAGTACAATGTAACCGTCGCACTCCTCTACTGGGTATACCTACTAGTAGTGCTGTAACAGTATACTAAATGAACTGTTTCTCCTTCGCATGTTTAGCTGATGCGCTTCGTACCTTTTTACATTTTGATACAAATAAACGCCAAGAAATATAAATAACACTGATAACGATTATTGTATGGAGGTAGATATACATTCTGATGGTGAATTAGTAAATAAACGACCTCTCGCGCGGCAATACAGTGCGTTTATACATGTTAGTGGTTTTTGCATCGCGGCTCTCCTCAGGATCACCTGAGACCATCATCACCCATCATGCCCCCCCCCCCCTGTCCACACACCCCCTTTGCCCGCGCACATTCATTACGCTAGCTTTTTGTTCGCACAAACAGTGGACGCAGAGGCCGGTTTCTGAGACGTGGTGAAATGTATAAAATATATAATTATGCCTCACAGCGTTGTCATTCAGCGTCCGCGCTTGCACTAATCACTGCGGTAATACCTTTGATTTATTTATAAGTTTATAGACTTTTGTTTTTTATAGTCAAGTAGATAATGGATTTAGTAGGTTCGCTACTGTTGGCTAATGATGTGGTACATCCAACCCCAACAGGTTTCAAATTCTATCATGTTACGCACTGCTCACATAAGTTACCAAAAAACATAAACGAGACTAGGAACCATAGATATGGCTATCGCATATTTTAAAGTATAAATTAAATGCTTTGATTAAATGTTATTCAGGTCCATTTAGTGCAGTTGGCAAGTTTTAAGATGTAAATAAAAAAAACCAGTACTAATTACAATAAAAAAATTATGTAATATATTCGTTATGTAGTCTATTTTAAAGTTAATAATATTCAGTTTTGTTCGAAACACCTTGGTTTTTTTATCCAAACATAAGTTTGTAGCTTAGCTTATTTTTAAGACAACGTGAAGAAAGAATAAAATTTTTTACAATTCCTTTATTTAAGAATATAGGTGTTCATAAATCAATATTATTATAATTAGAGATGCGCCAAAAATTCGTTTGGTATTCGGTATCCTTTTCTCTATTTATTCGGTTTGTATAAGTATGTATATTTTCTTGACTTCACTACAGGGTATAGAACTAAAAGAAAAAACTTCATATATTAGGTTTGTTTTTTATTAGATATAAGTCAAAGGAATCCTATTAAGAATGTATTCATAAAATAAAGCAATTAAAATTCAAAATATAAATATTTATTTAAATTATCACTATAAAAATATAATAAAGATCAGACATAAAATAACAAATAATCAAAAAATATACTCATTCTGTTATTTATAATTAATGGTGAAGAAACATCAAGCTCTCTTCTCAGGCAAGAGTCTGTTGGGTTTTTCTTCATATAGGTTACTTGCTACCGAAATAAATGTAACATGGTGTGAGTATCGCTATATTACAAGAAGCACATAGAATATTGGCCAAATAAAAACAATGAAATGGTAAACGGAGTAATTCAGTCGAATATCCGGTTCAGTAAAGATTAAACCGAATATTATACGGTATTTGGTGAAACCACTATTCAGCGCAACTCTAATTATAAGTAATATATCACACGAAAGAAAATAAAAACAACTTATTTATATTGATTTCTTATATTGTTACGTGCACTACCATAAATGGAACAACTTTTTAAACGGTTATATCGCATTTGTATTTAGTGTCATTGACGTAGCGGACCGTTTACAGGCTCCGTGTTCACACAAGACTAAGGTGCTGATTGTCTTTTTAATTAAATGTATACCTTCAAACACCCTATTATACTATTGGACACGTTTACAATATATATAATGGCAACGTTTACATTTATTAAACCAAATTATTCAATAAAATACATTTGACTTATTTATTTACCTGTTCCAACTTTGGGAATCTTGTCTGAGAAGAGTGGCGAAACAAACTCCGATAAGAAAAAGTGAATTGCTCCCTGAATGAACTAACTGTACCTTTTGGTTTTGCAATGTGTGATCTGTGTTGAGATTTTATTTGACTAATTACTGGATCTCAAGCCGGTGGTATATGCTAACCTTCATCTCCATTAAAATTCAGATGTTTTTAAACTTTCAATAGATATAATATTTCATTAGATTACCTTAAAAATATTACTCCTACATTCCATTTCTAAGCATAATGATGTCTTTTTTTTATTTACGAATCGAAAATTCTTATTGGGTCAGTCAACATATCTTTTTGGTGTAAACTGTCTAAATATTCATTTAATTCCCTAAACCAGAATCTAATTGATCCTTCTGTGACTTGGGCTCTAGCTTTATTAGGACCTACCGCATCTTTAAGTAAGATTTGGCCAAAACATATCCAAACCACTTATGATCTGATTGAATGAATGAATGAATAAACACTTTATTGTACTTGAAAAGAAAAATAAACATAACAATTAATTACAATAAACAGTACAATCGGCGGCCTTATCGCTAAACAGCAATATCTTCCAGGCAACCAAAAAGTTAGACTGTACAGTTACATAAAAAAGATGAGTAGCAAATTAGTTTGGTATAGACTTATAGTTTGCGTCCACGGCGGACGCCAAATGTAAGTTGTGTATTCAGTGTAGTAATTCGCGTCCACCTTAAAAATATTTTGAATTTAACAAATATTATTCCTTTTCTCATTATCAAAGTCTACACACAGCTATGTATCCTAAAATTCACATAAAACTTTAAAACACAAACGCGCCGCAGTCAATTTTTTTCTCAATATCCCGCATTTCCGCGCTCTCTTGTTGAACAGTCCAGACTTATTATTATTTGTAAACAGGAAACTTTTGTCTATACGCACGTGCCTCTTATACATATATTGAGCTATTGGCGGTACTGAATTTTCGTGTTATCGGTGTGCTAGTGTTCTTATTTTTACGCGAACTGGGCGATGGACTCGAACAGGAGAAATTACCCTAATAATTCTAGTTTAATCGATTCCGCTAATATTTACGTAATAATCGCAACTCAATAGAATCTCAACTCGTTACACTTTACCATTATAATATCTTGACTGAAAATGATATTCTGAAAATGAAAAAGATTCTGAGAAAACTGCGAAAATATTCACGATTTTCCTTTTCTATTTTTAAGAGACAAATAGTTACGTAATAACAATATATTCATCAAATAATATATACTATTATTGGTCGAGATAATTACAATAATAAGTAAAATATAGGTAGCCTTGGTTTAACTCTGACATCCACAGTTGAACAGCTAAGTAGGAATACAAATTGTACTTTTAATGAATTATATAACCATTTTTGAAAATATTCGCTCTAATTATTTTATATGAAGTTAAAAACTCAAAACTACTCAAATTATTGTCGTGCGTTTAATGAATTTTAATCATTAAAGCTTTGGTAAATTTGTTCTAAACTCTTTCAATTGTATTAAGGTGATTGGTAATGAAATTATATTGCCACAACGATATAAATTCTAGGTGAATTGACGTACCTATGCATATCTATATACCTGTATAAAATCAACTGCTGTTCGTTTATCTCGCTAAACTCTAGTAGGACTGGGCCGATTTTGGTTTTGAAATGTTTGTTGGAGTCCAAAAAAGGTTTATACGGTGAGAGGTGTTACGAAGGGCATCGGGTCATTTAGTTTTTAAATAAAATATATAATAGCGGTAACATATTGCATCATCATTTCATATATATATAGGATTCATATTGAAATTATTTTTGTTGTTATCTATAAAAATGTTTACTTGAGGTTCATCGTATTGCTACCAATTCTTCATCAGCTCCACTATAATTTGTCCATTGGGTTTTATAAAAATCGTACATCGCTATAACATCTCATCGTCTACTAATCAATGAGCAGTAGTTGTGTTGTGTTTTGTTTGATAATAAAAATTACTTTTATAACAAAATTCTAAGTTTAATAAAGATTATTGTTCCTACCATTTTTTTTGTAGTATTTTTTTTTTCTTTGGATAATTCATTTCCTTAAGAGGTGATAACAGAATAGACTGATCAAGATATATTATTAAATGCCACTAAAAGTCAGATCGTTTAATTCATACATAAACATTTTGGCAAAATACTATAAGTATAAAATCGTCGATAGCACCACACAAGAAAATGCTCTGTTTCAAATGTGTCGTGGCTGCACGTCAGGCTATCAAAATATGTAAAATATCTGGTAAATAAGAGTATAAATTTAGAGTAGAGTATAAACTCTACCTTCAAAACATCAAGGTTTAAAATCAAGTGGACATATTTGACAGTGTTGTATACCTGATGCGCTGTTTGTTGACTACACATTATTTATCAGTGCAGTATCTGACTCAAGATATGGATGTCTGGAAAAAATATTTACGCGCTGTATCCCTTTCCAGACTGTTTCTGCCTTTGCAAATGAAAAAAAAAATATTTCATCATTTCTAAATATTTCTAAATAAAGTATAAGTTGTATGATAATTTTTACATAGCATTTTTCCTAATTGTAACTCTAAAATCTCCGATTGACCGAAGGAGATAAGATTTAAAAAAAGTTATATTATGTTTAGTTACAGTTTGAAACATCAAATTGTGAATTACAAGAGTGCGTCGAGTGCTTTTACTGCGGATTATTATCACATTTGCAGAAAAAATGTGAAATTCGTATAGTAGAAGATCGTAAAGTCAGTCAAAATTGCCAACTCTATGAATAGTACATATTATTTTCAAATTAAGGAATTCATTTGAAAGTTGTAGGAAGAATGAGTGCTTGAAACTTTACTCAGATAGCTTAAATCTATGTTGTTAATATGTCAACTTAGCTGCAACACAATCGTTGACATAACCGCGTTGTTTCAGTTCAACGTCCAAAGCGGTGCAAGTAACGCGGGCAGCGAGGCGTACGGCGCGAGCGCAGGCGGCGGCGGCGGCGCGGTCGCTCTCAGCTCGGGCTCCGCGTCGTCGGGGGCGCAGTCCCCGGGCTCCCCGCCGCACGCGCACCTGCCGCACCACGCGCCGCGCCTGCGCGCCAAGGAGGAGGACCTCTCCGTGCACGGACGCGCCAGCGCTGACGGTACTGTACATATACTTACTCACCGAACAGTGCACACTGTGACCTAATCAAAGCTTAGCAGAAGTTGTATCACCGAGGTCAAAATCTACACAATAGATCCTAGCATATTGTTAAGTATACAAAAATAAATCAAATCTACTACAAAATCATGAAATAAATTTAAGCATATGGCATGATTTATAGTATTTTGTCAGTCTAATGGAATAGTTTTTAACGGTAGTCAAGTTCCCATAAGGTCAAGTCAGTCAAGTTGCAAGAGGATCTCATAAATATTAAACTATTATCACATATTTGATTACCTTGCAATTGACAGTTTTTGTTTCTATTCGGTATAGTGCCGGTGATAATGATAAATGATATAAATAAAACACTTGAGTCCGTTTACAGTGAAATGTACTTATTAAAATTATAATGAAATTGATAATTACAATGATAATGATTAGTCGCGTGTCGCGGTTGACGTATGATTTTCGACTGAATTATTGACGTCGCTAATGACCTAAAAAGCATAAATGCTTACAACGCCGTTCGGTTGCATTGAACCGAACAGTTTCAATGAAACAAAAACTATTTACAACTGAGTACCACAATTAAGTTTGCTAGTTGGTAGAGGAAAGATAGATTACTCTACTGCGCTCAAAGCAGCAAAAGCGAAAAGCAGTTCTATGTGACATTGCGCTTGCTACTAATATTTTCAGTAACGTACTAAGAAGGAATATGGTTATTTGTTTCTTAGTCAGCAAAAAAGTTGAGTTCATTCGTTGCTTTAAAAATTTGTGTTATTGTTTTCAAAATCTTTTAGTACATTTGCAAACTTTTTATAAGATTCTTATTATTACTGCTCTGTATCAGAATAGTGTTTCTTTTCTATGAATGTCTATGTAATAGTAGGTATATAATATGTGTTGTGTCGCAGGTGGCGGGTCGTCAGAGTCGGAGGGCGAGTGCGGTGCGGGGGCGGCGCGTGCGCGCGCGCAGTACGTCAGCGCCAACTGCGTCGTGTTCACGCACTACTCCGGGGACGTGGCCGCTGTCGTTGATGAACACTTCGCGAGGGCACTCGCACTCGATAAACCCAAAGGTTGGTTTACATGCTCCTTAAAAACTCATTAAAACCAAAGGCTTTTCATGCTATATACAGTACCTATACGACCTTCTGGAACAGTACAAAAAATATTTCTAAAACATTTGATGAATGAAGGGTTATAAGTTAGTAAACTAGAGTAATACTTACATTGTTATTCTATTACTAACATGGACCAAAGGTCACAAATAATTGTTAAAAATTAAACGTTAACGTATTTTGAGAGTAAGATGCGTTGTAGGTAATATGTGATTAACTTTCTTTTGTAGTTCAGATAAAACTGGAGAAATAATGGGTAATAATACAAGTCTCCAATTCATGAAATGTAGGTATGCGTGTCAAAAAATATATTATAAAACACTCTCTTATGTTTTATTCTTGTAAAAAATGATGTTTAAAACCGTCTGGTGTCTACAGTGTATCAATAAATACAACGCAAGTGCAGATGTGTCAAACTGAATTAATTACCAAAACGTAACATAACAGATAATCGCTAGCCTCACTAAACAGTTCTTTTGCCATAAAAGATTATGAAATTAAAGATAATTTATAAATAATCCTTCCCTAGAACTTCCTAAATAAACTAGTATTAATATTCAACTTGCTTTCCGCCAGCTGCTGCGCCGGCGTAGTCGTGTATAATACATATAATCCTTATCTTGTATATTGATGAAAACCATATTAAAATCCGTTGTCTAGTATAAAAGATCTCAGAGTACAAACAGCTGGTAGGAACTTTACACTATGTATTAACATCAGACGACGCGGAAGAATCATCGTTTTCTACATATAGGTTACCATTATTTTTAGTACCTACATCATATACATCTATATTTGTTGAATAAACCTAAATTGTTAAGTAACGATTTTTGATTCCCACAAATCCTTCTGTTGTTTTATAACATCGTCAGCGCAGTACCGAGAAGGTGCTGTAAAAAATCACCCTCGAGAGAGCGAGTGGTTCGCGGAACCGACCTGTCCTCCACAATTAAACCCGACGTTTAATTACGAACTAGCAAGAAGCATCCCGTCCCTCCCACCACTCCTCACCGCGCACCCGCCCGCCACCGCTACCCGTCGACTCTATCTTCTAATCCAGTACTCCACACCCCTGTTCTATTTTACTCAGTTCATTTGCTCCATTGTTTGACCGAGTACAATCAGGGCTAAGTGGATCTACTTCCCGATTGTTTTAAACATTGGATTGGACCGTATGAATTCTACACAATCTTGTAGAATGTCGCGCTCTCGCCGAGTGACGCATCGATCGAAGAAATGCAGCGACACGACCGGTTTCCAGCCGGAGTGAGACCCACTTATGTGACGGCCAAAAAGTGGGCCGATTGCCGATTCGACGCGAGGACGCGCCCGGGACATTGTTACGAGACTGCGATTAGATCGAAAAAAGTCCGACCATTACTTAAAAGATGGCCGAAAGGAGCCGCGCGACAAAAACGCATAGTGAAGCCGCGAGCTTTGTGCCGCCGCCGCCGCCCGCCCCGCCCCCCGCGCCCGCTTTTGCCTCACTGCATTCCATACAACGCAAAAACCACGCCGCCCATCAACATGCGGCCGCTGCGGAGGTCACCAGAACTATATGCTTTGTCACATTATGCCTTCTGTATTCTGCGGGTTAGACTTTCGTACCGACAAGATCTATTGATAACTTTAAAAAAGTCAGTTGATAATTTTACTACCTACCTGTATATTTTATATTTTAATAGATAGTTCTCTTTTTTTATGAATCTAACGCTTTCGCGTCTAAGTTGGCCTCGCTAGGTGTCCATTTCCTAATGAATGAGATATATTTAAGAAAAATTCAGAGATAGATAGACAATGACGGTTTTAGTGATTGTTTTCCGAAACGTGACTTTTTTCTAGGAAAGGCCAGAGGAGGCAGCGTCTCGCTCCCACGGGCCGCATTCTTCGAACGGACGGTTCTTTTATTGGCCTCAAATCGAGAATTATGTCGCGCGGCGGCCGATCGCTATCGGCCAACGGACGGCTAGTCGCAGCCACACTCCGTTAGATTCCTCCTCGATGACGGCACCAATGAGTGAACCTTACGATAGCTGCGATGACATGGATCATATCGGTACACTACACTCGTGTCGCACGTAACGAGTACGCACTCATTGTTCTGTTCTGTATTGGTCGCGTGCAATGTTACATGGTTCTTGTCATTGACCTACTCGACCTCTACAATGTGATCATGGTTATAACAATATCGCTTTTAATAATGTCTCATTAAAACGTTTAACTGTAAAAGAATGCATTGTTTGATTCGCGGATTGTGCACTACATTTTCGTAAGTAATTTCATTCTTCGATAGTAAAATAGAGAAAACTAGCCAAGCCAGCGAGTGGAACTTGTACTTGAAGACAATATTGCATAAAATGCTCAGATCCCCCATTAAGTTGCTTTTAGGACTCACTTTATGAAAATCTAAAACAACGAATGTACCACAACACCCAAAAAAAGTTTATTTTCTACATTACCGACCTGCATGGAACTTGACCCCTCTTCAGAGATACGCTATATACCCTACACCGACGACCCAAAAAGCAAATATAGTTGGTACCTATTTGACATACAGTATTTATTTATTTAAACCCGCCGCCGCTCAAAAAGATAAACCAATTCTTAAGACCTGTCAAGTGTAATATCCCCTTTCAAGTTGTAGGTGTATATAAACTAGAATGCGACTGTGGAATGGATAGGAACTCGCGCTATGGAACATGTAGCTGACGTTAAGCATAGGCGCGAAAATAAATCTGCAATGTGTGAACATGCGTTAAGAGGTTCTAATCATTACAAAAGATTTGATAACCCAAAAATACTTGCGGAACAAAAGTTCATTTCTAGAATGATACGCGAGGCTATTGAAATTTTGGTTGACATATACCACCGGCTTAAATTTCAATCCAGATCACACATTGCAAAACGAAAAGATAAAGTTAGTTCATTCTATAAATATTAAATCAAAGGGAGAAATTCACGTTTCTTGCAAGAGTTTGTTTCGCCAATTCTTTTCAGACAAGACTCCCAACTTAGATCTGGTTGTAGGTACGGTAACCAGGAGTAAATAAATATATCAAACGTATTTTTAAAATAATTTAATTTAATGAATGTAAACATAAACATAAAAAATAAAAAAAATAATTGTGAATGTGTCCAATAGTATTAGTTTTTGATGGTATCTTTAATCTTATTTAAAAAGACAATCAACACCTTAGTCTTATGTGAACACGGAACCTGTAAAGGGTCCGCAACGTCAATAAAACTGAAACCGTATAAAAGTTGTTTCATTTACGGATAGTGCGCGTAAAAATATAAGAAATCTATATTTATCTATGAAATTTCAATTCGTTCTTATAAGAAAAAGTACACTTTGGAGTACACCTAATTTTTTAATGTTCGAAACAAATAAAAGATGAATTCTAAACATGGAAATTTGGACATCACATAACGTATTCATAATTACAATGCACTTTTATTTAAGTAATTATATTTAGCCTCACAACAACGTCTACAACATGAGTTTATTTTTTTATTAGATAGAAGATCTTATTTCAATAAATAACAACATTCCTGAGCTGTCTGTGAGTTAGTATCGAATGTTGTAATATATGAGTCTGTCGTGGTAGTGGTAGCTGCTGTAGCGCTACCTGGTGGCGGCCGGTGGCGAACACCGTCCGCTGTTCATGTTTAATGATAATTACCGACCTCAGATTATAATCTCAGACAGTTTTTGTCACCAATCGTGAATGAACTCTCTCGTCCAAACAGATATCGTTATTACGTTTCATTTATATCCAGCCTAGTATTTCCTAAGATGGACTAATTTATTTTGTTTAGATTATTGTAAAGGATATATTTACGGAATCTTTGTGTGTTCATTCAATTTTCATTACTCAGAGTCTTATAGTGGAAAGTGATGTAGGACTCACTACTGAGGATAAACTCAATCTTAAAATGGTTGATACCATAAAAAATTTAGATACATTTGTTGACATTAGAGCCATGCTTTCAATACAAGGTGAATCACTAATTTGATTAAACTACTCATACTTTGTTATTTTTTATCACAAATTTCGTATGAAAGAATGTACATACTGGTTTAAAATAGTCTCATGAAATTTCATGAACTTAAGATCAATAGTTCCAAAATAGAATAAGCATAAAGTAACCTATTTCGACTTTTGTAGATGCAAAGTGTAGCGCAATCACTAAATTTCTTCTTTTAAATGTTTTGTCAAATTCTCCCTTTATAAAGTAAAATAAACAATATTATAGACATCATTTATATTTAAAATTACCAAATTACTAGCTGTTAACTGATTTGCAGAAACACTGTTTTTAAATTTATCAAAATTAATTCAAAATCAAATTTAAAATTATATCAAAATTTATAGTAATAGGTCAACAAATTATATTGCATCTAAATGCAATATAATTTTTCGAGCACCAGGAGAAACATCCTGAAAAGATTTTGAGAGCTAGAAGCTGACAATCATGTAGTGGATCCTAAAATGAATTGGACGAATGAAGAGAAAAAATGTGAAGAAATATTTGCTACTTCCACCAAACGTGATAAATACGTAAGTGTCTACAGATCAGCGAAGTAACTCTGAAGTAATATACTTGCCGCAACACGCTGATTCAAACGATGCAAAGACAATACGCGCTAGAATAGTTTTCGATACGAGTATATGGGTTCGAATGGAGTTTCATAAAATCAAGATTTGTTGGTAGGTCGCGAAGAGTTACAGAAAACCATAAGCAAAGAGGACTACAGTTATTAAATTCTCGGTCATATTTGGAATTGTAAAGACGACCAGTTCGAATATGCTGTGCAGTTACCCCCTCATAGGACACCTGTAATCAAAAGAATTATAATATTGGACATAGTACGTCTCTTTGTTCCACTAGGATGGTTGGCTCGTTAATATAAAGACTAAAATATATACACAAAAATTGTGGCTTAGTGGAATAGATTGGGATAATGACTTAACTGCACCATTACTTAATGACTGATTTACTTACAGAGAAGATCTTTAAAGGATGAGAAACTTCAAAGTGTCTAGGTGAATTTACACTCATAAAGATGATAAACTTCACGAACTGCACCGCTTCTGTGATGCATCGAACCACAGAACATGGAAAGTGCATCGAACGACGCAAACGTTTCCGTTATATATTTGCGTATAGTATATGCAGTGAGGACTTCAAAGAATATGTATGAAGTTACTCAAAATTATTTAAAAAATTGTGTCGTTTAGCCAAAGTAATTATTTTAATGCAAAAATTAAAAATAGTAAAGATAAAGTTACAATGACGTTGAATATCATAAATAGTGAAACTGGAAGAATAAAAACCCGGAATACAAATTTTAATTTAAACATTGATAACAAGAAAGTAACATCAGATCTTGAAGTTGCTACAGTATTTGAAAATTTATTTACTGAAATTCCAGTCCTAATTACACAATCTTTTTCTAATCTATATATTTATTTTCGAATCTATTTTAAGGGCAAGTTTAAATAATTGTAATAGCCAATTTAAGTTTCAACACATTGATTTTTAAGATATAATAAAATCTTTTAATCAGCTAATGAAAATGAAAACCGCTTATTTATGGGGTAATTCCATGGAAGTTTCCAAATCGGTAACTGAGACAATAGCTCCAATCCTAGCTTAAATATTTAATGAATGTACTGAGTTTGGTATTTTTCCTGAGCTCATGAAATATAGTAGAAGTATTCCTTTACATAAATCGAGTAGCACATCTGACCCTACTAACTTGAGACCTATATCCGTGCTACCTACGTTTAGTAAGATTTTTGAAAAAATCATGCTGGATCAAATACAAACATAATTTTACAAGAATAACCTTATGAATCGGCAACAATTTGGTTTTACAAGGGGTCGCTCAACAACCGAAGCCCGTGTCGAGTTAATACAAGAAATTTTAATGCCTGGGAGGATTCACATGATGCGTTAGGTATTTTCTGCGACCTATCTAAGGCATTTGATTGGGTTTTTCATGAAACATTGATTAGGAAACCTCATTACTATGGATTTAGAGATAACTCATTGGATTTTAGGGTCTCATACTTGGCTAACAGAGTGCAGAGAGTTGATATTAATGACAAAAGATCCCCTTGATCGAAAGTTAACATGGATGTTTCTCAGGGCTCAATACTTGGCCCTTTCTTGTTTTTAATTTACATAAAAGACTTGCCTTATTTCGTAAGGGATAATCACGAAAAAGTTTTATTTGCGGATGACACTTCACTTTTGTTTAGAATTAAAAGAGGCTTACCTCTAAATAACGATGTAAACAATTCTATCACTAAAGTTGTACGTTGGTTTAATGTAAATAATTTTCTCCTTAATTAAAGAAAAATAAAATGTCTAAAATTTGTACTACCTAATGTTAAAAAAGTAGATATAAATGTGAATATAAAATATAAGAACATGGGCCTTGTGGATACCACAGTATTTTTAAGAATAACATAAGAGTCTAAACAGTACAGTGGGGCCCATATTGATAAGTTGTCGAATAGACTTAGCTCTGCAGCATATGCTGTAATGAAGATACGTATGTTAACTGACATAGATACTGTCAGATTAGTATACTTCAGTTACTTTCATAGTGTAATGTCGTACGGAATCCTATTGTGGGGAAATGCTGCCGACATCCAATCGATTTCTATGCTTCAGAAAAGAACAATTAGATCTATTTATAATCTTAGGATTAGGGACTCTTTAGGGTAGAAATTTAAGGAAATGGACATAATGACTGTTGCTTCTCAATACATATACGAGAACTTAATGTACGTTCGTAAAAATATTCGTTTGTTTTCTATAAAAAGTGAGGTACACAATTTTAATACAAGAAATAAAATTAAATTAACGGTACACTAGACTGCACAAAGCTAATAACTCATTCAGGGGTCTTTGTGTGCGCTTCTACAATAAAGTCCCAAGCAAAATACAACAATTAGATATCATGTAGTTTAAATCTACTATTAAAAAAGCTTATTATAAGATATCCGATTATATAACAGATAAGAATATTAAGACTTAAGATGATCCAGCAACTGTTTGTTTCCATTATTATTAGATTATTATGTTATCATTATAAGACCATTTTTTTTTCTATTTACATGTATTGATCTGGTAATGACATGATTTTTGTAAATATCATTACTCCTATTAGAGCTGGTGAGTTTCTTGCTCGTTCTTCTTATCAGCCAAAAAAATTTCTGAACCATATGGTAGGGAAAAAAAATGATGGACGATGCAAAAGTACTTTTAAGAAGTCTATTTCAAATTCAAATTCATTTATTCGGCGCATGCACATGGGACACTTAAATATAATAATTAATCACATGACTACATATTGTAAATATACATTAGATTAACCGTACAGCCACTAACAATAGGAAATTCAACATTAAAATAATATTTGAATAAAGATTATTATTTTGACTTTGACTTTGAGTAGTGCAAGTATTCTGAATAGCATCTAAACCTAAAGTTCTCCCATAAACTAAATATCTATACCATGCTTAGAGTTTTTGAGGAGTGTGATAAATTTAAGTAAGAGAAATGTGCACACATGGGCTGCACTATTAAGCCATTTTAGGACTTAGGTAGTCCTATAATGGCTTAATAGTAAACCAAATCAATGAAAAACGTACATTGCTTGAACCAAATCAGTGGGTGCATGTTTGTTTTGTACAAAATCCAGGAGATTGTGCGTCGCGCGGTGTAAGTAGTAAATATTGAAGAACAGGACCATAGAAGTATGGTCCTCCCTTTCTGGAAGAAAAAAAAAAAACAATTAATTACCATAAGCCTTTACAAGACAAATTATTAGAATAAAAAATAACAAGTTATGTATGGTTAGTGCTTCTATGGATAAAGCAGCATAGGTCGATGGTGATGAATTAATTAAGAAGTATTCTACACTTTCTATGGTATTACGTGTTATTTCATTTTGTAAAAGATTTATATGAAGATGCAGTAAAGAATTGATATGTACACATGGCTGCACGTCAGATTATACATTGTGGACTTTGTACTGATCGCGCTTCGTATAAAACTTTTGAGATCTGCTTACGGTGGTGGTTTGTAGCGTGAAGTGCGGCCGTGCGTACAAAATTGATAAAACGTAATGAATTACATGATAGTTTTAAAATATGTATAAAAATAACTCAAGAGATAAATCTCTTACCTAACCGAAGATTTAAGAAACCTAAAAGAAAAAGGTACAGTTAGTAAACAGACACTTACCTCATTGAATCCGTGAATTAACCAAAATGAAGTGCTGTGCAGAGCGATTCTGTAATAATGCAAACTGTGTCTGTATCTATCACTATATAATTTCGAAACTCACTTCACTTACGCCACGAAACGTTATTACCAATTTAAGGTTGAACGGATGCCGCTTTAGAAGTGGATTCGGACACCTGAATGAAATCGAATTCGAATTTATAAATAATCGCAGGACAGCAAAAGCATCCAAGTGTCATTCCATAAAAATCTCACTTCAATGAGATGTTGTTGAGAGATGCACATGAAAAACCAGTACTCGCTGGTCCCCAGTTAATGTTAAAGTATTTACTAATGAAATACTGGATTACAGGTGCTAAAAGTTCAATAAATCAAACTGTACGCAATTGTGTGCGTAGTCTAAGATTTTTAGCGAAATACTTAACACTTAACTAAGCACGAGCAGTGGTTAGCCGAGGATTTTTTTCGCAGCGGCGTTGATTAAGCCGGCCCGGTCAATCTAAGTACAACTTGGATAGCTAAGAGTGCATAATTCTTTCAAACAAACAAACATATATATATATATATATGTTTGTTTGTTTGCATGTCAACCAGATATATACACTTGGAAGCCGTAAGCGATTTAACTGCAAATGGAGTTGATTCTGACGGTTCTCTGTACGTCTCTATTGAGCGTTCCGACGGTTTTCTGTATGTATGTAGAGGCCATCATTCTGAATTATGGAGCGATGGTGGTAATTTTGTGCGATTGTATTTTGAGCGATAATGAAATTGCAAATGAGCCGGCTAACAATGGAACTGACTAGCATTTTGTTCCCCCAAATTCTCCTCACTTCACCACAAAACACCACCTGAAAAGAATGATTGTAAACACAACACTCATCTTTGATGAACTGACTAGAGTTTTAGCTCAAATTGAGGTATGCCTTAATTCGAAACCTATATCTCAGATTAGTCGGAATGCAGAAGATCCTATGCCGCTAACTCCCGGTAATTTTTTGATATTAGAGCCAGTATTATTTCCACCAGAGATTTGACCATTTGCAACGATGTCAATTTACTCAGAGACTATTGCGAGACTTTTGGATACGATTGTCGCGAGAGGATCTTACTTAGTTTCACTATCGATATAAATGGATTCATAAAACTCCTGAACCCCATTTGGGCGTCATTGCGTTGATAATAAAAAATGTTCTTCCGCCAGCACGATGGCTTTACGGTATCATAGTTAGAAAACACTTGAGTTTACATTGTAAAAACAATATTATAAAGAGGGCTCTATCAAAACTCTTCTTTTACCAATAAGTAAATAGTAATAACTTCTTTTTTTGTTTCAGTATTGCATATTGTTATTTATTGTTATAAGACTTCATAAGTAAATGTTCTACTCTATGAAGTGTCTATCACTCACCAAGAGTTATTTAAATTTAATAGAGTAGTATGGTGGGCGGATTTGAAGACCAATTGACATTGTCCTTGGTGGGCGGATGGTATATAAAAATGTCAATAGGTGACGCTAGCTGTATGCTGCCTTGCTGTATAATTTTGGTTGTACATTTACATAAGTAGTAGTAGTATCAGTTTGGGGATTTGTAATAGTTCTTTGTCTACTCAATTTGGGCTATGAGCAGCGTATGTGATGTTGTGTAACATTATTTAATGTGTGCTTGTGTGTTTGTGTCAGAGAGCGTTCCGATGGTGTCCCGCAACCTGCCGGCGTCGTTCTTCAACGCGGCGGCGGCGGCGGGAGTGGCGGCGCCGGGCGGCGCGTGCGCCGGCGTCGACCTCTACGACTACGACCCTTGGCACCAACACTACGGCGGGTGAGGATATGTCTTTCACCATATACAATATCAACCTATTCAATATTGGTCGCTCTTTCTCTCTCACCACTCGAGAAGTTATCTTTTTGCTAAATCTCGATGTGTATAACTGTATAATGGCACATTTAACTCAAATATATGTATAAGATATACGACGTGTAGGCTCGGGATGGCCGAGGTACTATTATCCCAGTTGCTACACCGAAGCCAAAGCTGTAGAACGCGTGTGGTGTGACACAGGTACGGTCCGGCGGCGGCGCACCGTCACGCGGCGGAGTACCACGCGGCGCACCACAACATGGCGGCGGGGTACGGCGTGGGCGGGCTGCTGCTCGGCCGCGCGCCGCTGCACCAGTACAAGCCGGTGGACTGGCCCGCGCACGCGCAGCACGCGCCACACCTCGACCCCGCCACTTGCTCGCCATACTACCCGCCGGTGCCAGGTCAGTCCCCGACACTCTCAGCTGGTTGCACAAACGTTCATTAACATTGTCATTAGTTTAAAGCGACATTACCCATACAAATTTGACAGTCATTAGTCACAGTCAGTACTTACCTGTATTTCGTCGCAACCGTGTGCATTAACGCAGGTCTGCAGCAGTCCGTGCAATACGATAAATTGTGTAGCGTTCGTAAAACAAATATATTAATCCGGGGTAGTGCAGCAGAGCAGATGGTATATAAATTAGGACTTTCATGATATCAGTTATGTCACCGCTGATCAGCAATACGCCTTAAATCATATCAATCGTGAGCTCGCGAAGGCATTGCGTATTAATACTGAAAAAACACCTAAACCGAAAATTTTTATCTGCCCTAACTCTGTCTATTTCAAAGTAAGCTAGCGATGATCTTCCCACTGAATTTACTCAGTGTTTGTTAAGTACTTATATTTCTTCACTCTCACTGATTAATAAAGAACAATGTATCAGCGAGTTCTGTCACATATCGATTGTTTTAAAATTTACTTTTCGTAGTGTGTAGCTATACCCGGCATATAGCGGGACTTTTTGCAGTGAATAATCACACCGAATGTTAGCAGTGCCAAATAGCAATGCAGGATAACGACGGATAGTTTTGCTAAACGGTATCAGAGACAAAAACGCTAAGAATGTAATTACATGCAAATGACAATAATTAATCTAGTTGAAGTCAAAGAATGTAGCGGCGGCAGATAGGTATAATGCATGACGTTTAGTAATACGCGCGGCTAATTAGCTCTACGGCGGCGGTCAGTGGCGGGCGGGGGACGGGCGGGGTGGCGGCGGTGAACGCTACACATCACATTATGACATTATACACCACGACCGGCCGAAATATTTTCTTCGCTTCCGTCGCCGATGTGTATTTTAATTTTCAAAAGGATTCCACTCGCGCTCCCTTGATATTTTAATTGTGATGATTTAAGCTTTATCCGAGTGACAAAACAAAGCATTCCCGCTTTGTGGCGGCCTCCCCGCCCTCTCCCGTCCCCTCCTCCCCTCGCCCCGGGGTGGTTGTGTGCTGTGGGAACACTGTTAACAATACAAAGATGAAACAATCAACAAACTCTGTACAAAGCCATTATCCGGAGCCGCCGCTTGTAAACTCCCGCCGCGATCTAATCAGGGATTTCACTTCGTCTTTTCTCGCAGGTCCATCAAAACAGTTTTTTCTGTTATCACAATGGAAAAAATGCTAATTCCTATTTGTAATTGCAGCAGTACTTATATTTCAACATGGTGTATACACGCGTAGATATGATGTTAAAATCGGTTTTTTTTTTCAAAAGTGTGTAGTAAAGTTTTGGATGTCTCTGCTACATGTATAAGCAGCGACCGAATAAGTTGATATACTCTTGAAAAGCTTCATAGCCTCTATTTTAATCAGTTATTTTCAATATGTCATAAACATTTGTGTCGCTTTTTTGGACATGGATTTTTCTCTTTAACGTATCAATTAATTGCCGAATATAACTTAAGTATTTCAGACTTGTATGATTCATATTTATTATTTCATAATTCGCTTCGAGCCATACTTTTTTTTTTTTTTATTTAATTATCAACAAACTTTGTGGTTAACATAATTTGGTTTACTTGCATCATGTAAACCACTAAGGTTCGTAACACATGCAAGAATTTATATAAATCTCTTATATAAATTACCTGGAAGCAAGAGAATAGTCGTATATAAAGTTATCCGTATGTTTGTCACATCCCGCTTGTCGACTGAAAAATGCTTTTATGTGGCTCGTAATTAATCCTGACGATCGGTGACATAAACCCATAAATTTTCCAAGCGTACGGTTTGAAGTGTGACGTTAAATTATGCAAAACTTACTATGAAAGTGATAACAATGTGATTATTAGTATCGTTGTTTTTTTATTATTAGTATATTAAAAAAAATAAGACGCAAGTGCTGTTTTTATAGGGTTTTTTTTTTATTTCATTACCTTGAACGAGATCTAATTGAAAAGCTACGTGAGGAAGCACCTGTGCTTACTACATAATAGTAATAGTATAAGAACGTAACAAAAAATACCACAAAAATATTGTAGCCAAAAATGTGAGTATCTTTTTCACAGTTATTATACGTACAGTGTATGGTATGTGGTGTGTATGTGTAATGTGTAACGTGCTGATAACGTATGGGCCGGTTACACCGCGCTCCACTCGTAAACGAATGCGTTATAAAAACTCTAATGTGTTTTAATTATGAGAAGATTGTGTCAGGGCCTGTTAGTGGCCGACCGTTTGTTTCTGCACTGTGTTATTATTTTATACTTTAATTATGAGTTGCGATGGAAATATTGCTAGCCTCGTAATAATATAAACGTGAAAAAACTTTCTTACTGTCTCCAAAAACAAGGTTATCAAACGAATGAATTATTTTTTGTTTATCTTCATCATTATTATTCATCATCGATATTCATTCATTTAATCAAAGCTACTGTCATAAATAAAAAATCTAAGAAGAAAATATACTTAGAGCTTATTCTGATCACAAATATGTGCTTAAGTCGATTTGGCGTTTGCATCAGAAGTTTCTATTGTAAACCTGAAATTTAGTGAATTGATGCCTCGTTTGTTTCTGAAAATGCTAAAATAAAATATTTCAAAAAACTAAAACCAACCTTAAAATACTGACTAAAAAATAAAAAGATACCTTTCATAACCTTCAAGTAAAGTCACCGGTAACTGAACGCACAAATTTCACTATGTCCAAGTAAGCTAATCAATAGATAAACTAGCCATTAACTTGCTTGCTTCTTCTTCTGCCAAGTAACGTATTTAATCAACAAATGACTTTACATTTTGGCTGACACAGTAGCGTTAAAGATAATAGTAAAACGTTTTTTGTGTATGAATGTTACCAGTGAAGGTTTCTCTTGTTGTTTCTTTTTTATATAACATGGCTTAATATTTTTGTAATGTCTATATTAAGTTGTTCAATTCATGTAAAATTATAAAAACATTTATTTCCCTTTTAATTTTATATTTAAACTAGCCTTCAATTGTTGACACATTTCTTAATGAATAAACAAAGGATTTGCGTAGCCATTTGCTTAACCAGCGAGTTGTTACTTGGAGCTTTAGTTTTGATTGTAAAACTGGGAAAAGATACTCATAACTTTTACTCGAGACTTGGCACTAATTGTAAAGCAACTAATTGACACTTTATTTGTAGATTGTGAAGAAGACCCTTACTCTTTTAATATTAATAGACTAACCACCTCTACATAATGAATGACGTAATCATCAAATCTCGGTCGACTTCATATATCTGGAATTTTCTGAACGTTGTCTCGAATGGTGTTTTGCTTTTATTCGACATTTTACACTCGATACACAATATTTGTAATATAAATAGATACTTATTAAAAAAGATTTCCATAAATACAATGGCAATCAATTATTTATAACTATTAATTCGTTTACATGAGGAAGTTTACTGTTTATTCCTCTGTTTAAAATGAGAGAATAAGCATATTAATAATCAAAATTTTCTCTAACAGAATTGACTGGAAGAGGTTGTAGCGCTTAAAAAATATGGAGATTTCCTCGCCTCCGAATTTATATGCGCTACAAGTTTTTCAAGACAGTAACTGTTAGAGAAAAAATTGATTATAAGTATTAGTATAACGATGTTCCGCTGTTACCTACGTGAAACAAACACAAACAAGCACATCTAACTCTACTATAGGTATTATTATTTTGTAATGCTATATAAGCAGATACGTATTTATAGTGTAACTAGGTAATTACATATACGTTGCGTGAGATTACAGAATCCTTATTTATTTACATGAATAAAAAAGTTATGGGACTTTGTTGAACTTGAAGTTACGCTCGCTAGAATAATTTCGCTTCCAGCGATGATACCTCAGCGTGTGACGTCACGCCACCGAACATTACCGCGAGGAAGCGGCTCGGTAGTACTATAATGTATGTATGTTCGTTTTTGAGCATCGCTTGCATCTTACAGTCGCTTTTTGTCTATGACTCGATGGAGGACACTACAGAATCTTCTGTTAATATTGTATTGTCCCTATGTTTATACAGTACAAAAATAAAAAACCCTAATAAAATATTTTTAAATAAGGAAAAAAAAAATAAAAAGGAAAAAGAACGGAATGCGTGATTTCTGTGCTCATTACAGTAGGCGATCATTGCCTGTAATTGGTTTATCCATAACTGCAAGCTTATTTACATTAATCGATAGGGCCCGCATGCGGTGTGCGGTGATTTCTGTGCTTATTTTCATTAGACGTTCATTGACTCTCATTGGTTTCCTGACTAGTGCAAACCTGAAATTTACATTGGTTGATTGGGCCCGCATGAGTAATGCTGAGATTTTTGATCGTTTTTGCGTTAGTGTTGACTGAAACTGAAAGAGTTTATCGGCCAGTGATTGAGCTCGTAGGAATCACTCGCACTATCCATTTATTGGCTCCTGTCGTCCAATGTATATATCAGTAGTTAATACAAAAATCGCTTACGGGCAAATCCTTTACCTATTGCATAAGTAATTTGCAAAGACTTATATTTAATTTGTAGTGTGCTTAATTTGCTGTGACGTCACAAGCGAGTCGGAGGCCGAAGACGTTCCGTGCGAAAACACGCAGTTTAAAATTATTTATAACTTTGTCATTTATTAACGGATTTTAATTTTGTTTTCAGATTTGTTTTAGTTTTGACGTATATTTTTATTATACTGTGTTAAATGGTCGTTACTCACCATTCGTATGTTTATCATTCTTTGGATGCATAACACTCGAATGATTTCAATTTAGTACCCTAAAAATTCAAAAGCTACAGAGTTTCAATATCTAAAAATGACAAACAGTGAGTCAATTTACATGAAGAATAACTTTGTTGTCAAATCTATCAAAACAATTAAAATTAGCGATAAATTGTGTTAAATTAATATCATTAGAAATAGTAAAACTTATAACGAAAACTAAAAGTAAGGGTTTACAATAGCGCAAAAACATAGGATGAAAGTTCGTAGAGATTTGGATAATTTTGTGTTACAGAATTTTAATGATAGCAGGTATAAAATTGAAGGTCCATAGTAATAGAATGGACAAAGTGAAAAATGTAAATGGAATAAAACTAAATGAACATAATAAGTGATATGCATCCACAGAATGATAAACATACGAATGGTTAGTTACGGCAAAATATAATAATATAAACATGAAAATTCCCATTCACTCACGTCCGGTGCACAGATCATCAATTTTAATACTTACATATTTGTGATGAAATTCGGTGAATATTATCCAGTAAATAGCCACTATTTTACTGAAAATCCCTTACTGCGGTGCAATTGCACTGGTCGTTAATGGGTTAGTGCTAACCATAAGGTAACACTAATTTTAGAGTCACCGTTTAGAGAACCATAAGGTGTTATTACTTATTATGGATGATTTTAAAAGTGATTTTCTATGCTCAGAATAAAGTCTGAGCGGCTATAATTTGAGTGATATATAATTATACATAAAAGATGCATACCTAGCATACTTACGTCACGGGTGTATGTCGGTCTACGAGAAAATGTTCGCGTGTCAGTCGGCAGTGTAGTCGGTCCGCGGCAAAAACGTCGGCGAGTTCAAAGGGGGGCCGCCCTTCCTAATGACGACGATTAAAATTAATTTGCGCGGCCGCCGTCTCACTCGCAAATTAAATTCTTGAGTCGCGATTCCCTCCCGCCCCCCTGAGCCCGCTCGCCCCCGCCCCCCATCCCTGATGCCCGCGTGGGCAGGAATGACGCCGGTCCCCTTTGTCTTAGTATCGCCCGCTGATTGATGACGTGAGGGAAGGGTGCTCCTGACCCTTCGTCCCTATCAACGATCACAAAACACGATGATTACTTTTTTTTATAGTTAAACTCTTATAATCCTAGAAGCTATGTAAAATATCATAAGTTATAGTAGGTAAGTACAGTGCTCAGCATATCTACTATAATTCGTATCAATTAGGTATGATATAGGAGTCCTTTATTAGCCGATTTCAATAGAGGAGAAGGTTATCGGTTTGATTGAATTACATAAAAGACAGCGGCGGAAGGAAAACGGCTCTATAAAGGATTAATAAAGGCTCTTAAAAAAGGAATAAAAACTAATTAGAAAATTCGAGGATTCTGTAATCTCACGAAACGTTTATATAATTACCTAGTTACACTATAAATACGTATCTGCTTATATAGCTTTGCATTTTGCATATTGCTTAAATAACAGTTGTTGTCTTGAAAAACTTGTAGCATTAATAAATTTGGAGGCGAGGAAATCTCCATATTTTTTACGCGCTACAACCTCTTCCAGTCAATTACTGTTAGAGAAAATTTTGATTATAAATAATTTAAATGTTTATAATTTATTTATCCACGTTTTAGTGCGCACAAATGAAAGCTTCTTTTTAAAAACTTTGTTTTTATTTAATTTAAATTTTTCACTTTTTCTTTTGTCTCATTATAATAATTTCTAACATATCATCTGTATTGCAAGGTCACTATATGTTGTTGTTCTCATAAAGACTAAGATCTATAGAGCCAAACACGATGCAGTTGCGTTATTTCATTGCTAATTCCTATGACCACCTTCTGACTTCATCATCATATCAGCTCACTGGCACCATAATATTGCATTGTAATCTGACTTACATATCTATGCAAAATATCAAATCTAGCGGACATCGGATAGTGAGTCAAATTTGAGTTCCAAGATTTGTACACTCACACTAGTGTGTGTAGTGTGTAAGGCGAGTTCAATAAAAGCTTGTAAATAATGTTGAATGGTTCAAATACTTAAAATAAGTATATTTTGAATTTTATTTTGACCAATACACTACAGTCTATACTCACTGTGATATGAATATGCTCAATTTCACAGGCTAGTTAATCGATAGGTGAAACGAAGATCCCAATACATACATTTTGCTAGATAAACAATGCCATTTCTCATTATTTGCTTCCTTTGAGAACGTTCCTTCAGAACAGACCGAAGAAGAACATAACTTATGGAGTCTAATGTGGAAATTGCAACTGTACTTGTACTCGGGTAACCGCTTAATTATAAATTCCAACACATTACAATCGTCACATATTTAATGACACCTGATAATTAACTACCTCGGTATTTAAACAGTCAATAGTCTTGATTTGTCGTCACATCATATATTTGAAGTTGTATTATTTAAGAAAAACTTAAATCTTTAAGATTTGTTTTATAATACAAGAAATAGTTGCAGCATCTGGATTAGGTTAAATAGGTAATTTACTTTCGATCGTATTTTAAAAATGTAAACAAATTATCTTGTATTTTAATTAAAAATTGCTTTTACTATATTGTAAGATAACAACTTTGTAAGATACTGCAGTTATGGACATAATATACCGATGTATTAAAGAATTTCTGATAAATTATGAATTTGATTTGTTATTGTAATTTTAATTTGGTTTGTGCTGTCTGTCCGCTATAGATAGGTACTGTGATAGTTTACACCGCGACGGCACAATGTTTGCATGTCGGTATTTAATTCGTTAAGACGAACGTTCACCTACTGGTATATGGCCTTTATCCGGTCCTGTTGTATGTGAAATTTACGTGAGATATCATCATTCGTAATAATGTTATTTTAGGGCAAAACATTAGCAAAATATGAGTAAGGTCTCCCGATCTCACAAACGAAATAACGACGGTGTTAGGTGGCGTCCCCGCACCGACCGAGGCTGGCAAATGGTTTTCCTCACATTATTATCATGAGGGTAGAGCGGGCGGCGGTGAAGGGCGCACGGGGGGGGCGGGGGGGGTTACACTACACGTGAGGGTCGCAGTGTGGGTGGGGCGGTCGTATTGACAAAATATCGCGGTGTCACGCGTCACAACCCACCCCGCTCCCCCTCCTCGCCCCGCACGTGCGTCTCTCGTACACACGCACACATACACACACACACATACATACAAATATCCACATCACATCATATCACTTTCATTTTTCTCTAAAAAATAAGTACGTTTAGGGAATTGTTCATATCAAATCAATTTTAAATAATAACGATGCTTTTTATATAAAGGCAGTTTGTATTAGAAAATTCAACGGAAACCGGAAAGCATAGATATAACGAGTATTGATATAAAGTATTTATAATATAAAAGTAATTAAAAAAAGCAAAAAAGCTGAAATTCTCCTTCACATAAAACTTATTTGAATATGCATTTTGTTATTTTGGAAAATATCAAGGTTATTGATCCAGAACTTCTGCTTTAAAGATAATTTTTTTTTTTTTTTTTTTATTGAGAATCGCTCTCGCCCGTCGCGGGTTCCACTCAGATTTGTAGATAGCAAATAGTTCAGGAGTCGTATAAAATGTGTGTTTGAGATATGCACAAAAAGCCCCGTCGCGTGATATCGTACTGAAGGACTAATTTTCTTAAAAATTTATTACAAATGATCAGTTTCTAATTTTTAATTGAACTTTTATACTGGAAAACGATGCTACTTGCCAATTATCATAGTTCTAGGTCAAAGGAAAGTATCCTTTCATTTTTAAACCGACTTCAAAAAAGATACCTAAAAAGATTAGTAGTTTTCTTGTTATAACAAAACAAAATATACTTGTCATCAGATATTATCACCCATATTTTGATGACATGTTTAATATCAGCGAAAAAAGATAGCGTACTTTGCATTCATTCAAAATCCGAAAGGAGGAATTCTATCTTCAATGGATATGTATATTTTTCATGTAAGCAGGCATGTACACAGATTTTTGAGCTGCCACGTCTTATGTATACATTAATTAAGAGCGTTTAGACCTGAGTAGTTTCTATATCTCCTCGCGTTCCCGATTCATCGTGTAGGTACCTAACTCTAAAGCACATAAAAAACATAAATTATTTTTTTAAATTTTATTTACACTTATTTTGCCAATCAAATTACCGTTGGTATCGAATCAAACCAATTACTATCGATTCTATTCAAAACCTCTCGATTTCTGGTGATTAAAAAAATATATGACCATAACAGTAATTAAGGAACTAAATTTAAAATATAAATTTAATCGGTACAGACATTTATTCAATAGCCATCCATCCATTTAGACTGTAAAAGCTCTGAGATAATGGGTTAAATATTGTAGTAGTGTAACGATTTATATGTAGAGTCCAGAGAGGACAATACTGGCGTCCCGTATTGTCCGGGCGGTGGTGGGGTGGGGCCGGTGGAGAGGGGCGTCCAATGGCTGCGGGCTGACCACTGCCCCCACCCACCGTCGCCTCAATCGATGCCCCCTCCCGCCGCCCCGCGTCCCCCGTGCGCGTCATGAGCTCCATGTCAATTACTACCTACCCCCCGCCCCCTCCGCCGGCGGGCCCCGCTCTACCCGCAATTAACTATGATGGCCCGCCGCCGACCGGCACATGGCACATTACTCGTGGATTCAATATTCCTTGCTGCATCCCATATTCACAAACAAACCGCTAGCTTAGGTACTCACGCCTCGCGTGGGACGGGCGAGGCGTTCGCGTAATTACGTGGATAGTTTTTTGAGCGGCCGTAGAGGTAGGACACATTGTGATATTGTCTTAGAAAGGATGGTTGGTGCCTTGTACGGAAATAATCGGTGAGGAAGCAAAAAACATAATAGGCAGTTTCATTTTTATATTCATTTATTTGGTACTTAGAGAAGTACGTGTTTTTAGATATTTATACTTGCCCGTTATAAATAAATCAATGTTTTCACGAAAATCGTAGGTGTATAATCTATCGATGGATCTACGAGTAATACAATTTTGGTAGTGTACGACTACGTCACAGAATTTATTAAAAAGAAAAGCTGTTGATATGAAAATTTTAAATGATGTAGCTAAGTTTTATGTATATTACGATATACACTCAATAAACCTATCACAACCAAATGATAGGCCTATAGGCACATTTTACAATAAGTTAAGTGCATTAATGCTATTCTCGTTCGCTGGAGAAGTATCACTGGATGAATCCTTACCACTTCCTTCGTACATTTCAGATGCACTGCTATAACTTGTCTATTGATTACACTTTTATACATCTTTATTATTATATCCAAGTTCAAATGGAAATGTATAATTATCAAAGTAAGTCAACGAAGAGTCCGGCAATAGCCATTCAATAAGTTAATAAATAAATGAACCCAAATACAAACAGTGGAATCAAAGAACACTGAAGCTGCTAGATCTTCAAATGGAATTAATTCCACAAACTTATATCTAGTGAATTATTATCAAGCTTATATCTTTATAATGATAACTCTTGTTTAAATTATGACCAGGCAATAAGTATAACCGAAGCGCACAGGGTTAATATTAAAACAGATACTTGCATATATCAACATGAGATATGTTAATTTAATCTCTCGCGTGTCAGTATAAATTGCTGTCTGAGAACAAAGGGAATTTGTGTCATTCATTTTCATTCTAAAATCCTATATTTTTACGTTTTTACGTTAAATAATTATTAGAATAAAAGAAGAACAAAAATAAAGTCGAATAATGTAAACAAACTTTTTACAATTAGGTAAGTATATTTATTTAAATTAGATCGACAAATTATAATATTGCTTCTTAAATTTTATTTCAGTTAAATTATTTGACGTAGTCTCCAATCAAATAGTGCTACAGAATGTAAAATTTGCTTTTTTTTTTGTTGTATTTGATGAAGTCTGAGTCAAGTTCTTATGGAGAAAAAAAAACGTAATAAATACGAGGGGCATAGTAAAAACAACAATTCGTTTCTCCCGTACAAACCACTATCACGAGCTGTCAAACATTTAAATAAAATAGTCAATAAAAGCAAAACAAAGGCGCGAGGATTATCTTTGGTATGCCTTCTTTTTGATTAGAGGTTGCATGTTGCTGAACAAGATCTGCCGGTGTAGCTAGTTGACGATAATAACTATTATCTGAAATCGTTTTCCAATTTGAAATGGATTTTCCCGATACAAATGCAAAACTCCGTCACTTACCAGGTTGCGGCATTTGCTATAAGTTAGAGATACTATTGCCTCTTCATAAGATGTCATATTGAAATTAGTATATATTTATTGTAATCATTTTATATTGTACCACAATTTAAACTTTCCTTTATTTCTTTTTTCTCAAATGTCTTTTCTCTCAAACACTTCCATAGCCCCGAGTAAACTTCAAAAAGAAAATAAGCATAATAAACCATCTTTCCATTAAATTAAAAGAAAAACGAAATAAAAAGTATATGTTTTCCTTCGAAATCCTTACCTAATCTTATTCGGCCTTTACCAATATTTCACGTTTACAATTTAAATATTCTACGATATTTGCTGACGGGACTTCACCGCCCTTGGACAACTGATGGACACTTGTTTGTTAATATGATAGATTCAATAAATGACATTGAATTAGAATTTTCTAATACAGTCACTAAAGCTGATATAAGATGTTTCACTGAACGACTTTTTGTATGGCCTAACCAGTGATGAAAGATGAAGGTTCATATATTCAAGGCGGCATCGATGAAACAATGAAAATGAAACGTCCAATTTGGGATTGTAAAGCGTAAGCATGGTGCGGGCACACCCGCGCGTACGTATCCGCGCCCGCCGCCCGCCGCCCGCCGCCCGCCGCCAGACGGTGACAACAAGGAAGCCATTACTGAATTAATGAAATTAATAATGTCATTAAGCGATATAAAATGTGTTTATTGTCACATCGTGCTGCCGTTGGGAATTCTTATGAATCTGTGATTAATACAAGCAATTCTAGCTTATTATTAATATAATCAGGTTGAAGATTAATTTGTGATATATATTTGTGATAAAAAAATATAACCGGCCAGCCCCTGATAATGAATTTTCAGAGGCCGGCCGGTTATTTTTAATGGCAGAATAGGACAATCAATTTGATATTATACGCTTCATCAAACAATCGCCGAAAGATATTTTTATTTATATTATTATGTAAATAATATTTATACAACGATTTGCTGTCCCCATGATTTGCAAATTGTTATGTTCCTAAATTACGTAGGTTATAGGACGTAGGAAAATACGTAGGTTAACTGACATAGATACTGCCAGATTATAGTATACTTCAGTTACTTTCATAGTGTAATGTCGTACGGAATCCTATTGTGGGGAAATGCTGCCGACATACAAACAATTTCTATGCTTCAGAAAAGAGCAATTCGATCAATTTATAATCTTAGGATTAGGGACTCTTTAAGGGAGAAATTTAAGGAAATAGACATTATGACTGTTGCTTCTCAATACATATACGAGAACTTAATGTACGTTCGTAAAAATATTTGTTTGTTTTCTATAAAAAGTGATGTATACAATTTTAATACAAGAAATAAAAATAAATTAACGGTGCCTGTCACTAGACTGCAAAAAGTTAATAACTCGTTTAAGGGTCTTTGTGTGCGCTTCTACAATAAGGTCCCAAGCAAAATACAACAATTAGATATCATGCAGTTAAAATCTACTATTAAAAAATACTTATTAAAAAAGCTTATTATAAGATATCCGATTATATAACAGATAAGAACGCTTGGACTTGAGATGATCCAGCAACTGGATAGGTGATTACTTCTAAACTCATTATCTTGTTTCCATTATTATTAAATGATTATGTTATCATTATACGACCATAGTTTTTTTTCTCTGTTTATAATGTATTGATCTGGTAATGACATGGTTTTTGTAAATGTCATTACTCATATTAGAGCTGGTGAGTTTCTCGCTCGTTCTTCTTATCAGCCAAAAGACGTCCTGAACGAGTGGTAGGGAAAAAAATGTTGGACGATTCAAAAGTACTTTTAAGAAGTCTATTTGAATAAAGATTATTTTTGACTTTTGACTTTGACTTTTTGATTGGTTTCAAAATCCCGCTAATTCTGTACCAGAAGGAAAAAAATGAAACAGAAGGCTTTTTCCACTATTCTTGCTACTGATTTTAAGCAATGGCAAAAAAAACAATTAATTGTAATTGAAATCAACACCCTGAAGTGATGTTGTATTCTAAATGAAATGATGCATGATTACTTACTCCATCCCGAGTTGGTTATGTTTACGTAGTGGAAACATTATAACGCAAACAAAATATATAATACTATCATATTAAAAGTATTGAAGGCTAAAATTGTTTAAGTTAGTTAAGGTTCTGTAACTAATCTCAGAAACGTTACAATTTGTTATCCCAAATAAAAGCTTGCGCCCACGTGTGTCAATGTAATATATTGCAGCTATTTCAGGGACGGAAATCGAATCCCCCGAGCTGCACTTAACGAACAATAAAAAGCGATCACTCACAGGGAACGAGCAGTGAATTGAACACATCGCCGCCGCCGCCGCCGATCTCACTATTTATTTATATCTTGTTTTCATTATGTCATTTTATATTGTTTTTCCATGATAGATTCGAGTATAGTTGAAATTGGTTAGTAATATAAATTATTTGATTTCACAAATATGTATCGAACGTTTACGTTGTGAAATTTCAAAAGACAAATATTGCTCAATCCAATTCGGTTAGTAGTATTTAAGACGGACGTTCTGCAAAGCAGAGTCTGACCATTTACTGTTATATCAATTTCCTTCTGGTATATGAAAGTAGCAATAAGACTAATTAATAATTGTGCAAGTAGGAGGACTAGATAATCGTCCATCCATCGGTCGGCGTGTGATTGTATCAATGCGAGCGATTCGGGCGATACGAGCGCGCCGTTTGTAACAATCAGCCGCCGCTAACTAGCCGCCGCCGCCGCCGCCGCCGCCGCCGTCGGCTTTGTCTTCACCGAAACGTCATTGTCATCGTTATCGGATGCGGTTATCGATATGCTTCCGTCTGATCGAATACTACTCTGGTTGCGATATATTCTTTTGCTCTTTCAAAGTTATGATATAGACACTATATGATATAGATAATTATTTTAGGATGTTTAAGGTTTGTTCTAAAAAGCATAATATTCGCATAGCAAAATATAAAGCTACGTGAAAGTAACTAAAGTTACGATTGTATTATAATAACCCTAACAATTTAGGTCAATTTATTGTCTCAATAAGACAAAGATTACGCAAACCTTGTCATTTAGCAGAAAGTGCAACATTTCATCGGTATTGTTCGGTGTTAATTGTTTCCCTTCGTCTACAGGTTTGGAGGCGCAGGTGCAGGACACCTCTAAGGACCTGTATTGGTTTTGAGCGTGGAACGTTGGGAGCGACCAGGTCGCTGTCGGCACAAATGTCGCCACCGAATGTGGTCGCGCTGCGCTTGCTGCGCGTGAGACTGCGACTCCCGCGGGCGGCGACGTCTG